TTCCGGCAGGGGTGGCCAACCGAGGATTCAGCCGGAGAGATCCCGCTAATGAGCATTGCAGGTATTGCACCGCGGTTGGACATTTTGTGCGAGCTTGCCCGAGGCTCAACCATGCCATTATAAAAAGGAGATGTACCAGGTCGTTAAAAGGGGAGATATTTGGACCTCAGGGAGAACGAGTGAACTGGAACTCGCCGGGACTGGGACAGTCCCGATCTTCGAACACGAGGGGCCAGTCCCGTGCTAAAAATAGTGCGGGCCTGTGCTAAATATAGTGCAGGCCTGCGCTAAGATTAGCGCGGGACTGCGCTAAGAATTGCGCGGGACTGGGACAGTCCTGACCTTGGAATACGAAGGGCCAGTCCCGTGCTAAAAATAGCACGGTCTTGTGCTAAAAATAGCGCGGGCCTGCGTTAAAAATAGCGTAGGACTGGAATAGTCCCGACCTTGGAACACGAAGGGCCAGTCCGGTGCTAAAAATAGCACAGGCCTGCGCTAAAAATAGTGCAATGAACCCAGATCGTAAGGACACTTGTCAGCAATGCCAGCTCATGTAGATATCAACCTGCTGATGAATGTCAAATAATCATAATTGTATTCAGAATTTCAGATAGAATGAGATGGGGAATCATACACAGACGAAGGAGAGAGAGGGGAGAATAGACTGAGAGGGGAGAATCAACAATGCCCACTCCTGCTTCGGGCTCCCTCCTCTCTCGCCACCTCAATAATCAATGACCCGAACACAAATCTGAAGTTCTCTCTCAATGTGCCACGTGGCACATCAGCCCGTCATCATCAGCGAACAGGAGAATGTCGACATCAAGATACCAGGTACGTATCCACGATTACCCCACAGTCTTGATCTCCTTCCGAAGTGACGATGAATCAGAACAGCACTATCAATCACGTAGTCCCGCCACGTCAGAGTACAGGTGGCAGCAGCCACGTCAGCATGCCAAGAAGACAATTGCCAGCCAGCCACCTTGCCAGCCAGCAGCGCGTCGCTCTCCTCATATGCCAGCATAGACCCAGCGTCCAGCCAGTGTCGCAGCGTCGCACCAGCGTCCAAGTCAACGCGTGAAGTCAGCATTGACGCAAGACTGAATGACCTCAAAGCCAGGAAGTCAGCTCTTATGTAGTGTTGACGCAGGGTTGGGACCTCGGATGCTGTATGCCTCAGCCGTCCAGATCTCAATGCGAATGAGGGTCCAGATTGATCTGAAACTGTATTCCTCCCGCCCTGGATGCTGTCTGGGTACCTGCGCACAACAAGTGAGTGTATCCAACCAAGGGCCTGGGTGCGGTACCTTTGACTCTACAGTTGACTTTGACTCTTCAATTTCCTGTGTGCAGCGCTTGGTCACACAGCCATACTCGACAGACTCAGGCCTGGGCGTGTCTTGGTCACACAGCCCAGCACAGACCAACCCAGGTCTGCGTTTCCTGGGGCAGAGTTCTGAGCCCCAGGCTACTTCTGAACAGGGTTACTGCAATAGCACGGGCCTGTGCTAAAAATAGCACGGGCTGGGAATGGCCCGACTTTGGAATACTAAGGGTCGGCCTTTTCAAAAAAAAAAAAAAAAAAACCCTCTTAATCATGATAAGGGCCCAATCCTGTATTCCCCGTATTCCCTTGACAATTCCGGGCCGTACCTTTCCCGACAAGGTCATTTGGCCATGTTGGTCCGGTCCCAAGTGGTCAACTCTGTTTTTCTCACTAACCCTTGTGTCGTTTGGACCGGGCCCTCCAAATTTGGCCCTTGCAGATGCGGCGGTTCAGCCCAAAGGCCGTGATTCGGCTTCCATGGGGCTGGACCGTCATGCCGCCTTGTCCGCTGACTCGACCCAAGGGGACCAACCAGCGCGTCAACACTTCGCTGATTGTGGCCACAAGCAACCCTTGAGACTGATACGGCGCGGAGGCTGACCGCGATGAGTCAACTACATGTTGATGAGAGGCGTTGGCCTCCGACACTGGTCCTACTGGCCCGAAGGTTCGGATTGTCACCTGGTCTTAAGACTTTAAGATCATGCGATGATCCAGGCCGTCCATGGTCCTACTGGCCTGACGGTTCAGATCGTCACACAATCTTAAAATTTTGAGATCGCACGACGATTTGGGCCGTCGGCCGTGTACCAGCTGGCCAACAGCCCAGATTAGAAGTTTGCAGCACAACCGAAGTTAGGGCTGCCAGGCGTGGGGAGAAACCGGTTCCAGGCGGGCCGGTCTCCTATAGGGTGCAGCGGTTTGGCCCTTGCCCATATCTTTGGCGGCGCACGGAGCCGGTGTATAGCGAACGAGACAACGCGCACTCACACGGCCGCCCACCCGCCCGCTTGAACAAGCACATGCACAAACACAGGCACATGCACGCACACACGCACATGCACGAACACGCGCACAGGGGGGAAGCTAGGGGAAGTTGCCGGAAGGGGGTTGGGGGTTAAAGGCGCGATTTCGCGCACGTGGTTAGGATACATGACGCGGAATGGTGCTTTCTTTTTTCTTTTCGTTTCATCGTGTGTGTGTGTGTGTGTGTGAGAGAGAGAGAGAGAGAGAGAGAGAGAGAGAGAGAGAGAGAGAGAGAGAGAGAGAGAGAGAGAGAGAGAGAG